GCTCTGAAGAGAGTGGCTCCTCTCCACAGGCAAGTCATTGGAATATCTCTGCAGGTCTCCCATCCCATCTTCTCCAGCTGTCAGCAAAGAGGGTGCCCCTCTCTGCAGCTGGTCATCTCCTCATCTCTCAGTTCTCTGCTGTCCTCTGCTCTCTTTCTGCTCTGGCAGTCCTCTATCCTGCTCTGACTCAGCCCAGGACTTGTATGGACCTCAGAGGGGAGGAAGTACATGTTGATTGGTCCATGGGCAGCCATGGGAGGACCTGATAGAGGCACTACAAGGGTGGGCCTTATTGGGGTCCCCACCTCTTCCCCCCAGAAATCTGTCTGCCTCCTATTCCCATTCATGGACCCGGGGCTTGGCTCTAACCCAGATCCAAGATCAGATGAATTGCTGAGAGCAGAAAGAGGCAGGCAGTGGGAACGGACACCCCTGAGCCTGAAGGGATGTTGGGGCTCCTTCCTGGGGCATGCGAGGGTGCAGGCTGTAGAGACACCTGGGTCCTGTGCCTGGGAGGCTGGCCGCAGCTGCACTCAGGAGCTCTCACTCTGCCAACTCAAAAGGAGCAGGGCTCTTGCTTGTCCCCAGCCCTGACTGCCTCCTGGAGCCAGAGGCCCAGGGCAGCTGTACCTGAGAGGGCAGATCCTGCCTATTCCCAGTTCCCCCAGGAGCACAGGGAGTCTGGGATCCAGAGCTGCAGATTGGGCGGCTATAGCTCTGCCCAGGAGAGTGGGGCTCCTGCCTGCTCCATAGAACAGGAGGCCTGGGTTTGCAGCTGTGGTTTGGGCAGCTGCAGTTGCACAAGGAGCTCTCATTCCAACTCAGAAGGGGCAGGGCTCCCACCCTAGCTGCACATCCCTACTGAAGATGGCATGATGGCAACAGCCAATGCCATCCTTCCCCTCTCTGAATAGGTACACCTAACTACTGTTAAGATAGAGATGATGACCTCTCTTAACTGCTTCATGCTGACAAGGAGCATTGTTCTGGGAAAACGAGTCAAGTCTCTCTCTCTCAGAGTGTCTGAGATAGAGATAGGGAACTTCTTGAGAACTGGGGCAAAGGTGACTCTTTTATGTGTAAGCAAAGAGACTGGCAGCATTTTGTCCCTGCCCGAGAGCTCTGTGGAACTTTGAACTTGTTAGATGATTTAGGGTATCTGGCAGAAGAAATGTCTAAGCAGAAAAGCATTCAAGAGGTGACTTGGGTATTGCTAAAAGCATTCTGTTTTAAAAGGGAAACAGCATAAAAATTTTGAAAAATTGCAGCCTGATGATGCAGTAGAAAAGGAAAATGCCTTTGAGGGGAAATTCAAACCAGCTGCAGAAATTTGCATAAGTAGCAAGGAGCCTAATGTTAATCCCTAAAACCATAGGGAAAATGTCTCCTCGCCATGTCAGAGGCCTTCACAGCAGCCCCTCCCATCACAGGCCCAGAGGCCCAGGAGGAAAAAGTGGTTTCATGGGTTGGGCCCAGGTTCTGTATGCTGTGTGCAGCCTAAGGATTTGGTGCTTTGTGTCACAGCCACTCTAGCCATGGCTGAAAGATGCCAATGTACAGCTCAGGCTAAGGCTTCAGAGGGTGGAAGCCTTGGCAGCTTCCACATGGTGCTGAGCCTGCAGGTACACAGAAGTTAAGAACTGAGATTTGGGAACTTCTGCCTGGATTTCAGAAGATATATAGAAATGCCAGGGTTACCAGGCAGAAGTTTACTTCAGGGGCGGGGCCCTCATGGAAAATTTATGCTAGAGCAGTGTAGAAGGGACATGTGAGATTGGAACCCCACAGAGAGAATCAAGCAATTCTCTTGCTTCAGCCTTCTGAATAGCTGGGATTACAGGCACCCACCACCATGTGCAGCTAAGTTTTGTATTTTTAGTAGAAGTAGAGACTGGGTTTCACCATGTTGGCCAAGCTGCTTTTAAACTCCTGACTCAGGTGATCCACCTGCCTTGGCCTCCCAAAGTGCTGGGGTTACAAGTATGAGCCACCACACCTGGCTGAGCCCAAGGCTTTTATGGACCTCAGAGGGGAAGTACATATGAATGGGTCCATGGGTGGTCATGAGTGAGCCAGAAGAGGCCCTATGAGTCCCCACTCTGGTTGGAGAAACTGGCAGCCCAGCACCCAGCCTTTGAGCCCTCCCTGGCCTGAGGGTGGGGCCTTACTGGGGACCTGTCCCTTTCTGCCCAGGACTCTGTCTGCCTCTTGCTGCCATTCATGGCCCCTTGACTTGGCTTCAACCCCACTTCGAGATCAGAGAGGCCAGGAGCACAGAGAGGCCAGGCAGTGGGAACAGACACCTCTGAGCCTATAGGGACAGAGGAGAGATCCTTCCTGGGGCACCCGAGGATGCAGGCTGCAGAGACAGTCCTGTGCTTAGGAGGGTGGTTGGATCCACAGCTGCAGCTTGGGGGGCTGTAGCCCAACCCAAGAGGGCGGGGCTCCTGCCCGCTCCCTCGAGCAGGGAGGCCTGGGTTTGCAGCTGTAGTTTGGGTAGTTGCAGTGGCAAGGGGAATGCCCATGCCAGCTCAGGAGGGGCAGGGCTCCCGCTTACTCCATGGAGTATGCAGCCACAGCTGTGCTTCCCTGCTGTAGCAGGCATAATGGCAGCAGGCACTGCTGTCAGAACTACATATCTGAGTAAAATTTCTCTGTTGTAAATGATGAGACAACATTACAGAGAATGGAAGAGGCTTGCACAAAATTCCTTATGGCAAAGGAATAGGGAAACCAGCTTCCTTACTCCATGACCAGTATTTCTGCTGTTGTGGCATAACCCATCTATCTGCTAACTCATGGTAGATGTATGTGCCTATATATAACCTATTTTACTGACCAATTCTAGGTTGTCAGATTTAAGAAACAAAAAGCACATCTTGTCTTTCTTTTCCTAGAACCCTAGCATACAGAAGGCACACAACAAATGCCTAATAATGATAGTAAATATTTACTGATATAATATGATGCGACAATCAATTATTATAGCACTTTATGTGGCCTATACTCTGTCCTTAAAACAGTCCTATATGTTAGGCACTTTCATTATCCATGTTATATGCAAACATTTAAAATGATGAAATGAAGACTCAGAAGCTCAGTAATGTTCTCATGGTTTCAAGTGAACTTGGGCAGCTGACCATGCTCTAAGACCTGGTCACACAGTGTGGTCCACAGACAGCAGCCATGACAGCTGGTTAGAAATGCAGATTCTCAGGCCTGTTGAAGCATGATCTGCATTTTAATAAGATCCTCAGGTGATCTGTGTGCACATTGAAGTTTGAGAATCTCTGCTCTAAGTCAGCAGGCTCTTTGTTGATCAAAAAAAAAAAAAAAAAAAAAGAAAAGAAAAGAAATGGATGAGTGCTTTCTGGGCGATGCAAGAAGCAAAGTGGTCAGATGAAAATTGTGTTCTAAAGAAAACGATCAAAGCTTCCATTACTATAAATTACACCTGTTCCAAAAACGAATTCCCCCCCCCCGCCCCCAGAATCTATACTGATTTCACTGCCCCTACAGGTCTAAGGTCTATATTTATACACTGAGCACCATGATAAATGCAGAGGCAAATGCTTCAGGACTGAGTAACAGAGCTATAACTCGGCCTGGGCTTTGCTCGTGACGCATCCAAAGTGTGTTTTTAGGCAAGAGGCAGAGAGGAAATTGCCATCTGCTTGGTAACTTGTGAGTTACTATTTCCCGAAAATCTAAGCTTTTTCCAATTCCATTAACGTGAATAAAAAATACAAACTTAAGGAAATAGTTACTGTTGCCCCTGGAAAATGTTCCTGACTTTCTTGACATCTTCAGAGACGGCAGGGACTACCAGGACTCATTCAAGGGGCTAGAATTTTGTGCTTGGTTATTATTATTTTTTCATATTTTTAATATAAATTATCATCAAATAATCAAAATTAGTGTTTTGGCCTAAATCATCTCTCTTCCTTGGTCCATGGACATGCCCTCCACTGATTCAGGGAGATGAGAATCTGAGTAAGCATCTTACCTCTATTTCCATTAGAAGGTAGAAAAGACAAGTCATCTCCTTCTTTTGTAACTACATCCTTTTGGGTCTTAGGCTGCAACTCCTCCAACATCAGTTTTCTCAATGGTCAGATAAAGATGGTCGTATCTATCATTATGGATCTTCATGAAGATAATTTTCCTTTATTATGCTAATCTATTCATAGAGTTACTAACCTAGTTGTTTCTCCACAATCATGAGGGTAATAAGACCCTGTGAGCTAATCAATCTTCAGATCCTTCTCTCAACTAGTCTGATTCAGTAGGTCAAGGATAAGGTGCAGAAGCTGGCATTATAAAGATGTTTTCCAAATGATTTTAAACCAGATGTTCTATATGCAATAATTTGATATATCTCTCCAATTGTTCTTGGCCACGTAGTAACAATTTTAACTCCCTAAGGCAAATATAAGTCCCCAAAACAAGTTAAGCCCAAATTTGAAATGGTACTTTAGCACTTGTGAGCAATTCTATGATATGTTCTTATGGGTCTGAACCTCAAAAAATAGAGTGGAAAAAAAAAGAAAACTCAAAGAGGCAGGACCAACCAAGGCTTGAAAAGCTTTGCCTTGGATCAGGGTGGGAATGAGTTAAATGTATCCATTTGAGTCTCAGGTCTTAATCTAGCTCACAGTTGAGGAACCACTACTCTACTACTCTGCTGCAACACTGCAGGGAAAGGGCTTAACACATCCTACCTCTGTCAGAGGCTCTGCTCAATGTGCCGAAACTATTATTAAAATGGCAGCAGATTCTACTCAGGTTTTAAAAAACTTGTCATTGTCAACAACTGGATTTAGATTTCTTTTTACTTTCAGGGGTAGCTGTTCTATTCCTACGATCCCTCAGAGCTGACAATGGTGCTAACTTCTCCAAGACTGCCTGGTAATCACACCCTGCTTGTTTTTCACTTGGCTCATGGAACATTCATTTATTTACTCTGTAAAAGCAGATCTCAGGACAGGGGAATATCTTACCATTCGTTATCATAACTCGGCTACTTTCAGATTACTACTTGTCTTTCTCTCCCACATCCAAAGTTCCTTCTGTTCCTTTTATTTTTAATCAAGATTCAAAATAAAAAGTTGCATGCTAACTACTAAGTTTCAGATCTTGTCATAATTGCAGTAATATAAAAATTCAATTTTTATTATATTAATAATACTAATAAAAGCTCTTAAGTGTCAAAAACTATGTTAAGCAGTTTTTACATTATGTAATTTTTCTCACACAATGTGACATTGTGTGATTAATTTTTACAACAATCTGGGTAAATCATATGTTATCATTCTTACTAAGGATTTTAAATTAAGAGGTAACTGATATGGTTGGCTTTGTATCCCTACCCAAATCTCATCTTTAATTATAATCCACATAATCCCCACATGTCACGGAGAAACTAGGTAAAGGTAATTGGATCATGGGGGGCAGTTTCCACCATGCTGTTCTCATGCTAGTGAGTGAGTTCCCACAAGATCTGATGGTTTATAAGTGTTTGGTAGTTCCTCCTGCATTCATTATCCTTTCTGCCACCTTGTGAAGAAGGTGCCTTCTTTACCCTTTGCCTTCCACCATGATTGTAAGTTTCCTGAGGCCTTTGCAGCCATGCTGAACGCAGAGTCAATTAAACCTCTTTCCTTTCTAAATTACCCAGTCTTGGGCAGTTCTTTATAGCAGTGTGAGAACAGACTAATACAGTAACTGACACAGGTTAATTGATCCAGTCAAGTTTTGAACCCAGGTCCATCAGAGACCAAAGTTGGGTGTTTTGTCACTGCCATCTTTTCTCTCCCAGAAGAGGATGTTGTGACAGCAGAACTTGATGGGGATGTCAAATGCCAGTTGAGACTGGCAGCAGAGTGGGCTGCAGACTCCCTGGATGGACTATGACAGTTTCTTTCCCTCTCAGCTATTTTGGTTGACCTCGAAACCCCTCACATTTCTAGCAACACGTGAATCTTTGAGTTAACTCTAGGGTCACTCTGGTGGAAAGGCATAATAGTTGCTAACATTATGTGGCCCTTCAGAAAAGGATAAAGTTCTTCTATAATAAATGAGGCCATATATCTTCCAAAATGAGAAAAATTTGAGAACAAAGGGATTATCATTAATATTTACACCTAGACATTAGGCAAAATCCATGACTGTGCTAGGCAAATTAAGAAGTATGATTATCATAGTTATTATATGCTTATCTCTCCAAAGTTATAGGCACTAGCTGAATGTATTCAACAATATGAAGAACAAGTGTTGTTAGAGAAAAGGCAAAATGAAGGTGGCAATAATGCACCAACGTTAGCATTATTGCCAGACCAATATGAAAGGGGTGTGGGGAGAAAGCTATACAGTGAAAGGAGACACATATGAAGAAAGTTAAGAACAAAATTTTCCAACTTTTCCACTGTGCATTAAGTTTGGCCCTGTACCATCAATCTATTCATTATGGTGACACATTCTAAAAGCAAGATTTTTTTTAAGTTTCTTGTAATTCTATCCTTAGGCATTGCAACCATTGCTAGTATAATTGTGGTCTACCTTTCTCTTTGAACAGCCTGCAGAGAAACCTGTCAGCTACAGGCAGGTCATAGCTTACATCAGAAATAAAAGGTGACAACTAACCATATTCCAAACAGCACCCCCAAGCCATAAGTCCACAGAGAACGTGCCTCCATTAGATTCTAAAGTTGACATGCCATGAGCTTGATCATTAACTGTGGCTTATCAATTGCTACTCTGGCCTTTTTTATGCAAGGTGACAGCTCCCTCTTTTGAAAAATGTGAATTCTTAGCAGCAAGGATACACAGATGCTCTTTCCCTCTTTTCCATCCTCTTAGCCATCCTTTGGAGAATTAAGTACACATATTAGGAGAATAAAGTGGGTCAAATCTTATATTAAGACATGAGAATTCAGTGATGAATTAGACATGGTTTTTGCTTTGGGGGAAATTCATCCTTATTTAATGAAACAAATACACATACAGGAACTTCAATATATCATTGTGATTTTACCAAAATTTATTTTATGCCAGGCATTACACAAATACCTCAGTTAATCTTACTATCAACCTAACAAGGTAGGTTATGTTGCCCCAATTTATAAATGAACACACATGTTGTGAGTCACAGAGCCAAGATCTCAACAAAAGTCTGTCTCATTCTGCACTCACTCTACTGTTGACACTCTCCAATGGCTTCCCATTTCACTCATGGGAGAAGCCAAAGTCCTTACTGTGACCTAAATGACCCTATTGTTGTTTGCCATATTTATAGATTTCCCCCAGTCTGAACACATGATAGGACAATACTTCCCGATTCCATATTTTAGGTCAATACAACTACTCAGTGCATTCCAATGAGTGATGTGTGGAAATAATGTGCATCAATTTCAGGATGATCATTGCTTCCCCAAGGTGGGACCCAGCAGAAATCTCTTTGTATTTTTTCACCTACAATAGCACAGATATTCGTTGCTCTGTAGCCAAGGTCCTGGAGTGAGGAAGACAGTGAGGATGTAGGAGCAGAGGCCCCTTCTGGCCCATGATGAAAATTAGGCGAGTGGAAGGAGTCAGTTTTTTGATTATTGCATGTTGGCTGCTTAACCTCTTTTAATTGATTAGCTGCTTTATTTTTTTTTAACATATCACCACACATCTTAAGGTGTAGTCTACTTATTTATCATGGTATTTTCTGTTATCCACAGTTAGCTTCAACAGAGGAAGGAGTAACTTTTGCCAATTTTATTCACTGCTGTATTCCCCGTGCAAAGAACAGTGCATGGTTTGTTGTAGGAAATCAGTAAGTCCTTGTTGAATAAATGTAGAATCAAGCTACATCATTACACCTATGAGTGGTAAGACAAAGTTATATTCAGGGAGCTATTAAAACACACAAAAAGACTGATTCAGAATGAGGCTGGCCTTGTGTTTTTCCCTAGTGTGACCCCAGTGTTTATTGTCTGCATTGTGGGAACTCTATATATGATTGTTGAGCTGTTACAATGAAGAGCCTCTGCTGTGGTTTTTATAACTAAGTAACTCACCATGCACACATGCATTAATAATTACTTCACTGTCCTGGTGGTGAGACCTTCATCTATCACCCTGGAAGTCTTCGTCATGGCTTAGTCATATCCTGTGACTCACCTCCATTCAGCCTTTCCCTTAGTGATGTTCCTTTCCTCCTTTTTCTGTATCCATTTTCCTCATTTCTGTTTTATTTCTTTCCTTTTTCTTTTCTTTTTAGAGATAAGGGTCTTACCATGTTGCCCAGGCTTGTCTGAAACTCCTAGGCTCAAGCAGTCCTCCCACCTAGGCCTCCCAAAGTGCTGGGATTACAGGAGTGAGTTACTGCACCTGGCCCTCCTTTCTCTTAATTCACACCCCACTGAGGTGTGTCTTGAATAGTTAGCCTCAAATGACTCTTACCTCCTTTCAGGACAAAGCAGCTCTTTTTGTTCCCTGTCACTAGAGGCATTTGTTCCAAATTGCAGCCTCAGGAAAGTGCTGCCGGCAGACAGGTGGTATATCTGTCAAAGGATCCTAAAGGAGATATACCATCGCTTCAAAATACCTTTGCATACTGGAGATAATGTTGACTTCTGCTTAGCTCTGAATGAACATTCTAAAGGATATCTATTTGGTTGTCCAGCTGGCATCTGAAGCACAAAGTTCCAAATCTGAACTTTCTCCTCCTGAAATCTTTACCATTTTGGTGTTGGCACCACTTTCAGGCACCAGAGATCTCTTTTTAACCCAACTTACAACCTTCACCTAAAGCAACAAAATCAAATGCCATCATGCTTTTGAACACCTCTTATATCAGTCAAGGTTCTCCAGAGACATAGAACCTAAACACACACACATACACACACACACACATATACACCCATATATATACACAAATACACACATACACATACACACATACATATATACACACATATATATACACATATATATAAGCTATATATATGTATACACACACATGTATGTGTATTTATATATGTACACACACACACGCGCACACACACACACACATATACATATATATCTTTATGATATTAGGGACTGATAAATCTAAAATTTGTATGGCAGGCCAGCAGGCTAGAAATTCAAAATCTACAGAGCAGAGCAGATCAGCAGACTGGAAACTCAGGTAGGATTTCCACATTACTCTTGAGGCAGAAGAATTTCTTCTCTGAAAAACTTCAGTTTTACCTTTAAGGCCTTCAACTGATTGGATGAGATACATTGTCAAGAATAATACCCTTTATTTCAAGTAAACTGATTGTAAATGTTCATCGTGTCTACAAAATGCTTTCACAGCAACATCTAAACTACTGTTTTATCAAACAACTGGGCACCATAGTTTAGCTAAATTGATACATAAAATTAACCATCACACTCTGCTGTGGACTGAGTGTCTGCCTCCCCCACAAATTCAAATGTTGAAATTCTTATGCCCACTGTGATGGTATTAAAAGGTGAGACATATGGGAGGTAGTTAGGTCATAAGGGTGGAACCCCCTTGAATGAGGTTAGTGCCTTTAAAAAAAAGAGTTGAGAGAGCTTGCTTTTCCTCTCTCTGTTCTCCACTATGTGAGCACAAACAGAGAGAAGATGGCCATCTATTAACCAGGAAGTAGGTTCTTGCCAGATGCAAATCTGCAAGGACCTTCATCTTAGACTTCCAGCTTCTAGAACTATGATAAATGAGTGTGTGTTCTTTAAGCCACCCAGTCTATGGTACTTTGTTATAGAAGTTCAAACTGACTAAGACACAATTCTATATCCTTTACTATATAGCAGACATTTTCAGTCAATTACTACCTTTTCCCAGATAAGCTCAGATGAAGTTTCACAATTTTTTTCATGACAATACTGCTGCCAGCCATTATTAATTGGTCAAATCTATGATGTGAGCTGGAGCTCATCTCTGGCTTGTAGTCCTAAAAGCAAATCTAATCACTCGTCTTTCTTGCTTAATGGCTCTTTGTTGTCTAAGATTCCATGTCACAAAATATTAGTCTTAAAAGATATTCTGCCAAAAAGA